ATTAGACATCATTTTAGTGGTCATGACTAAAATATGAATGTTTAAACGGATGCATACATACTTCTCAACCTATTTTTGTATTTACAATAGAAAAATTGTCAAACAGAATGTGACTTGGTACCCCAATATATTTAATAGACAAAAGGAATGTGGCTGTGATTGAAATTGGAGTATGGGCTATATTGGTCTCAGACTACAGGCTCCCCTGTGATCAAATCTCTACCCCCCCCTTATATCCCATTGGTATTTGAATAGTACAAGATAGAAAATTATGTGTTCTGCTGAGCAAAGGTTTTTCTATAGAGAGTATTTGCATTAAAAGCACATACCTAGATTAGAAAGGCCCCACCTGGAGGTTGTACCTCTTTATGTAAATGTGCAACTCTAAGACCTAGTTTTCTTTTTTTTAAAAAAGATTTATTTCCTTATGCATACAAGAGCTGGGGCACAGGCCAGAAATGCGGCGGGTGGAGGAGGATCTACCAGAGACAGAGTGGGGAACAGAACAGGCAGACTGACTGAAATACACTGCTGAGGGAGCAGCGGGCAAGACAGGAGAGGTCTGCCTTGCCATGTGGGTTTCTCCCTGGCCAGCCGGGGATCGAACTAGTGCTGCAGAGGCTGCAGATTGCTTCATAGTGTAGTGCTTAACCCCTTGCGCCACCAGGGAGGCCCAGACCTAGTTTTCTGTGAACTTTGAAACAGACATTCAAAATCATCAGGGAACAGGAAATAAATGTGTTTTTATAAACTGTGTGTTAGGTTTCCAAATAATATGTTCAATATTTTTCAATGTTGAACTTTCACACATTTAAAGCAATGCATTTTATTGTTTAAAATATATTTTATCTAATATATGGCAATTTCAAAAAATAATCTATAGAAAGCATCTAACTATAGATCTGGAAATTTAAATTATATTAACATCAACAACCATTCACATTATTTATAAATCAGTTGATCTGTTGAAACTTTCAGTATTTATGAAATGTATTCCTTTGTGATTTCTACCATTTTCATATCCAGAATATCCTCCTATATTTAAACCAGTTAGGCATTAACCTCTTGCAATTATTTTAGTATTGTTTCACCTATTGTATTGAATTATTTACCTGAACTTTATTTTCAAATAAAGAATGAAGTGAAGATTTTTCCCACTACCACTTGGAAAATAACATATACCTTTTCATTGATTTGGGAAATTGCCTTTATCATTTTTAACAGGCCATCTTGTGGATACTTAGTTCTAGAATTTTATGTTTCAACTTTTAACACTCTCAAATTCGAAAGTAGCATGGTATTTGTGGGAATTTTGTAAAGAATACAGAAAAAAATGAAGAAAATAAAAATTCCCCATTTTGCATATTTTTTCATTTTATATTTTTATAAATATGCATATTAAATAAATGTAAATACACTTTTCAAATATATAAATAACACTGATTTTTTCAGAGGCAGGCACAAGTAAGCAAAGATGGGTGCTGAACTGACTTTAGAAGTGTGAGTGCTCTGTAGCACGAAGAACAGATGTAAATTTAGGGACAAAAGTCTAGAAATAGACGCTGTGGCAATACCTAAGAGCAGAATAGAGAGTCTGTAAATCTAAGTATGAGAGTACAGGGAAACCAAACCAAAAACTCCTGTGGCCATGTCCTTTGAAAGTGCTGAAAGAACAAAATGTCTACAAGATCTTAAATTTTTTTTGCTGTGCTATCTCTCCTGCCTGGGGTGGGGAGAGAAGGGAGTAGGATCAAAAGAAGCAGGTTGGGAATTGTATGGGGACTATAACCAAGATGAAAATGCATACATTTTGCAAAAATGAAGAATGATGTAAAAAATATATAAAGAAAAAAAAACTGTCTTTAAAAAATATATAAATACTTTTCTTCCTTCTTCCCTTTAATTTTTTTATACAAAAATAAGAATATACTGTATATACAGTTTTGAATTTTAGAATTTCCACATTACATTATTTTAGGGTAAGTAGTCTCCAAAGATGTTTAGATTATTTGTTATTATTCTATCATTATTATATACTATTATTAATTCATCAATTTTGAAACACTAATTTAGTAGTTCGCCAGGGATTTTGGCAGAATTAATGCTCCGATTTTGAAGTATAAAATGTCTATGCCTTCTGCAGTTCTAAAGTCTATTTTCTGCTACTTCAAGGTCTTAAGGCTGTGGTTTCTTTCTGGCCAACCTGGAAGACTGTGGAACTTCCCCAGACCAGAAAGTGACTCTGTTGGAGTTCTTGCAGTGTCATCCTTTCTAGAATAAATATTGCTCTAGTTTCTGACTGTCATTGGGTGTTTTCTGTTGCCTTCAAATGGCTATTTTTAATATGTTTGCCCATGTTTCATAATTTTTTATCTGTGGAGGACTCTCCAGACCTTTTCCTACCACCATTACAGAAATACTGTTTAAGGGTATAGTATTAGATTAAAAATCTTTGCTGATTTGATAAAGAGAAAAATTATTTTTTTAAATATAGTATTGTTCAGATTACTAGTATGGTTGAGCATTTTCTGTATTTTTATTGGCTATTTGTATTTGAATTTACATCATTTGTAAATTATCTACTCAATCCCCTTGCCTGTTTAAAAATTCTACAATTTCATTTTTTTATTGATTTAAAACAGTTCTTATTCAAATATTAACATTCTGGACAAAAAATTGAAAATACATTTCCCTGTTAGTAGTTTACCTTTATTTTGTTTATATGATTAACATATAATTGATTTATAAAGGAATGACATCTCTACAAATTTCAGTCTTCTTATTTTGGAGTTTAATTTATCATTCCATTTATTTTAATTGTTGTTTATCTATCCTCATAATATTGTTAATTTTAATATGGAATCATTTATTACATTTTTAATGTTTTCCTGTATTGATATTGCTAGATATTTTTACCATTTATTTTTTCATTGCCACTTCTGATTATTATTATAGAAATCCTATGATTGCCTCACCAATTTTTATCATTTTACAAAAGTTAGGTATTAGTATTATGTCACTTAATTCTTACAACATTATCTTAGCATTATTCCAATAGAATATTTCAGACATATATAAGCATATATGGATTATAGTATAATGAAATTGCATATATAAGCCTTTCACTTAAGAAATATAATATTAAACTGTAAAGGCTACTTCATTTGACTACTACCCACTGTTAACTACTCATTTGAATTTAGTAGTATCATTTTCATGCAACTTTATGTATATTTATGAGTTGGGCTTAGGACCATAAAGATAAATAATACTGTTTTTCATTTTTAAATGCATAAAAGTGGAACCAGGCAGCCTATATCTTTTTTCTTTTTTATTTAATATTATGTTTTCTCATTTTTCTATGGTGAAGCATGTATGTCTAGTTCATTCATTTAAGCTGCTTTATAATATTCCTTTGCATAAATACATTGCATTTTACTTAGCGTCTCATGTTTATGACCTTGCAAGTTACTAAATAATCTATACTATTGCAAATATTTATGTATCTTTTTGTCTCTTTGTACACAGTGCTGTGGTTTTTCTATGTAGTAGAATTGTTGGGATTGTAAATATGCCCATCTTCAAAGTTAGTAGGTATTGAAAAATTACTATCCATATAGTGACTAATTTATACTTCCAAAGAGACTGTGTGTCAGTTTCCATTTCTGTACATGTTTTCAAGGCTTGGTATGTTCAGTATTTAACTTTTGCCAATCTGATGAGTATAAATGGATATTATGGCTTTAAAATTTGTATTTTCCAGATTCCTAATGATGATGTACATCTTTTCTAAGTTCATTTTTATTTTCATGTATTAATTGCCTTTTGTATACTTTTCTCCATATTATATTAGGTTCTTTGTCTTTTCCTTATTGGTTTCTAGTTGCTTGTTATACTGTCAAGATAAAAATTCTTTTCTGATAATGAACTACATATATATCTGGATTTTCTGTAGACATTTGGCTGTTTGGAATTTTAAAAATGTAAAAGTTAAATTTCTTTTCTTTGAGATTTGTGCTTGGTTTCTACTTGAAGAAATTTTGAACACATAGATCTACATATCTTAAGGGCCAGACATGTCACCAGTTGTAACTATGGCACGATTTTTAGCACCTTTTTTTAAACCTTTCATGAGTCACACAAATTCCACAGGAGAGTAAGCAAAAGATATGCCAACCTAGGGGGCCTCAAGCAAGAGTAAGAATTGATGATTTTCTTTAGTAATGTTGTTTTAGATATCTGTATCTGAATCTTCATCCCAGGATCTGGAAAGAAAAAAGGAAAACTAGTGTGATGAGTTCCTATTTATGGGAACATATACAAAAACACATGGAAACTGAAAAAACTGATGTTCAGAGACATGCAAATAGATCTAAGTGTGAAATGTAAAACCCTCTGGGTATACTACAAAATATCTTTCAAAATCTACTAGTGATTCCTCTAGAAATTGACCTTTTTTTCCCTCCCTAATCCTTGAGGAAAGGTTAGACGTGGTATGCAGAGAAACTGTAAATTAGAATAGTTACCATCCAGGGTAATTTTGGAGGTGGTGCTTTTGTTGGATTGTCAAAATAGGGTATAAAGTCTAGCTATATTTTGGATTAAATTAAGCTTTCACCATTATAACAAGCTACGAAATAGAAATTGGGCTGCCGTGGTCTTAGGATATCTGTTTTAGGCAGAATATATTAGGCTATATTATAGTAAGAAATCTGGGCCTCCCTGGTGGTGCAGGGGGTTGAGCACAATGTTATGAAGCTGACCACAGCCTCTGCAGTGCAGGTTTGATTCCCAGCCGGCCAGGGAGATACCCACATGGCACGGTAGACCTCTCCTGTCTCGCCCTCTGCTCCCCTCAGCAGTGCTTTTGGTCTGTCTGCCTGCTCTGCTCCCCACTCTGCACTTCTTACAGAGTGAATCCTCTCACCCTCCTGCACTTCTTGCTTATACCCCAGCTATTGTATAAATAAATAAATCTTTAAGAAAGAAAGAAATCCACCTAAGAATCTCTTTATTTTTCATTCAGGTCACAGCATGATGTAGGTGAGGCAGCTCTTCTGAACAATTCCCCTCTAAGTGGTGACTCAGGGCCCCAAGGATGCTTCTAGCTATTAGTACATTCAAAACAGTGTACAAGAGTAACACTGACAGGGAATATGGGAATAGAAAATTGTACAAGATTATTTAAGGGCAGAACCTAAAAATATTTTACATTATTTTGTTTACATTCCATTGACCTGAACTATGTCACATGACCCTTATGTCACATGTCACAATCCCAATATACATAAAGTTGCATGAAAATGATACTACTAAATTCAAATGAGTAGTTAACAGTGGGCAGTGAGTCGAATGAAGTATCCTATACAGTTTAATATTATATTTCTTAAGTGAATGGCTTATACTTGTAATTTCATTATACTGTAATCCATATATGCTTATATATGTCTGAAATTTGTCTAATTTCAAGGGAGAATAACATGCAATTGTCCTTTCTGTCAGCAAGAGAAAACCAATGTGTTGAACATATAACATAGTCTCAATCACTACCAAATTCTGGTCAACAAAATATGTCATTCTTCCTCTTATATAGCAAACAAATTCACTTTTTCTCCCTTCTTCAAAGATAGTATTTTGATGTTTTTCCATTCCCATCTTCCATCTCAGGATATAGGATCTCTGCCATCTCGATCACATCTATATATGATTCCTCATGGCCAGGTGATCTGTGAACCAGAAAAACAAAACAAAACCAAAAGAAAAAACACCAAACAAGTTATCTGCACCTTCACTTTACATTCAAACACAGGATGTCTACATTCAATATCATGAATTGAGAGGGGAAGAATAAGAGATAAACACCAGCCAATGTTCTTTAGTGATTCTGAAACACTGGTTTAGGCCTTAAGTTCACTGTCCGGAAAGAGTTACTTTGTTTTTTGTGTGTTTTTTTTTGTTTGTTTTTTTTTTTTTTGTATAGCCCTTGGCTAGGACCCTTTGAGTTTCTTTTTGGTCATTATTCTCCTCAGCCATATGTGTTAAGTTCGGGAAATATGGTCTTCTTGTAGAAGGATTCAAATGCACAAGAATTGATTTAGTAATTGAATTTTAAAATATATACCTATTTTTAACAGTGCACTTGTGGTTTCCTTGATAATACAGTTCCCTCAGAAAGCATTGATTCTGATCTTATTTGCTTCAGCCCATGTCATGCAAGCACTAATCATACCCAAAGATTTTTTGTAAAATTAATATTCCCATTTATTTCATATGGCAACTTTCTCTACTGACATGGCACTTTCCTACTTTTGTGTTTCTTTGAACAACTGGGGTTAAATTGCACCTCTTCTATGGCGTCTCCCTTCTAATCTTTTTTCTACTGTACATATTTGTTGTTGTTATTTTTTACTGTGCCTTGTTTCTAAAAATCTTTTCAGTTCAATCCTTTTAAGAAGTTGGATGTTCCAATCCCAAAAGACCTTGGATTTCTGACCTCTCTTTCATTTCTTCTTGCAAGATGATTAATTCTTTCCTGAGTTCATTTCTTTGTGTAATACTTTATGAAATAAGGCTAATGATAGACAATACACTAGGGCTGTGAAAAATTTCAACATCTAACGAGAAATAAATAGCAGACTGTATTGTCGACTGTATTGTCTTACAGTCCTCGAGGCTAGATGTGCAAGATTAATATGCCAGCTCAGTTGGTTTCTTCTGGGGACTGTGAAAAAGAGTCAGATCCATGCTTCTCTGCTGACTTTTGGTATGTTGCTGGAAATTTTTGCATTTTTTTAATTTGATTTGATCACCCCGATCTCTGCCTTTACCGCCAATTGAGGTACTCCCTGTGTATATGTCTGCTTTTAAATTTCCCTTTTTAATAAGACAACAGTGATATTGAGTAAGTGCCAATGTTAATGACCTCATTTTAACTTGATTACCTCTATAGAGACCATATCTCCAAATAATGCCAAATGCTGAAGTACTAGAGATTAGGATTTCAACATTTGAATTTGAGGGAGATTCAACACAAACCATAGCACATAATAATGCATTGATAAGAAATATTTTTATTAAAGTATTTCTTAAGTTACATTTTTTATATAGTGGCTAATGTTTCTCATCCATCTCTTCATGAAGAAGAGTTAGATATATTATATTATGATAAATGATTAGCTATAACATTACAAGGAAAACAAGGAGGCAGAATACACCCTTTGAAAGGTCTTAAAGAAAGGTCTTCTGTGTAATAGTTATGTAAAAATTATGGTGTCATCTAAAGTTTTCTATTACAATGTTGTTTCATATTGTTAAAAGAGAAACCTCAGTAGGTTTAAATAAATATAAAAAAAATAAAATCAGGGAAAAAAACATTGAGGCATTCATTTTATTAAAATCAATTATCCTTGTCATTTTCTCTATTTATTGATATTTATATTATTTACTTGAATAAGGTGACCCTTTCATTTAAGGTGGTGAACCATCAAGTAATAACTATACTAAAGAAAAATTAATGCATGTTTTAGATGAAAATAAACTGTTATTGCAGTCAGAATGTTTTATTGAAACTATAGAAGTATTCACCGAAATAATAGTTGTTGGTAAAGGTTGAAAGATATGGGTTTGTTTGTTTTAGCTCTAAACTGCACACTTGCTTTTGCTTACTCTGACCAAAGTGTTATCTCAATAAAGCTCACTTGGACTTAGGCCAAATATCTGAGAAGTCAAAATTTAAGTGGCTTTCTTTTGCTCACCTTTCTGTTCTTTTCATCTAAGATCATCTTCCTTCCCCAGAACCCAGTTATGAAATATTGTCTACTTGTTTCCTGTTGCAAATTGTCTAACTCTAGCCTTTAGAAGACAGGGTGACAAATAACAAATTCTCAGGAAGTCTATTTGATTGAATACAGGAATGAATCACTCAATCAAGGAGTGAACTGTAGACCCTAATCCTACTTTGTAGTCCAAACAGCATGCCTTCTCCTTAATGTTGAAGTTCCGAAATTAATTTCCCTTCCCTTAGATTTTACTCCTTTTAGTATTTCTAGTTCATCTAGTTATAAAATGTAAATTTATAAATGCAGTAATTAACATTAGGGCATACATGATTGGCCCTCATAATGTTACTTGCTTTTAAGTTAAACGAATCTTTATTTTGGAATATTTCTGCCATTGTGATAAGAAAACAATTAGACCCCGACCAGATCTATTTTTGGGGGTAGTTTTCCAAGCTTGAGTTTGCTAGTCCTGAAAAGAGTGACTACATATATGGCATATATACAATATAAATTTATTTACTTTTTGATGAGAGAAGTTGAGAGATCAAACGCTGGAATGGTTTCAACTATGAATGTCTAGATTTTATTTTATTTTATTGGCGCAGAAATAGAGGGGAGAGTGGGGGGTGAGAGACAAAGGGGATAGGGAGCCCATTGGTCTATGGTGGAGGACGGGGTGCTTCGTGGTGGTGGTAAGTGACATACATCTGAAGAGGTGTGAACCTGTTTTTCAAAACCAAATATAGTGTTGTAAACCAGTGTTACTTTGATTTAAAAAAAAGAAGCTCTTTGTAAATTAAAATAAATAAGGTGTAAACATAGGAAGCTACTGAATATTTTCTGGTAGTTTTCATCTAAGTAGTCATGTGAAGTTAAGTTTTAGATCAAAGTTGAGCAGTGGGAAGTATTTCCCCATTTCAGACATCAGTAGTAAATAATTTTCTGCCAGGCTGAGAATATAAGGTAACAGGATATTACCTTAAAAGTAAAGTAAGCTTAAAAGTTAAGTATAAAACAGATTTTATAATGGTTGAAATCCAAACTAACATTGGTCATTATCTATTTCAGTTTTTGAAAATACAGAATACAAATTTTATATTACCTAGGAAATATTTAAAAAAGATTTTATAGTTACATACTAAACCCACTAGTTTGATATCCTGAACTAAATTTCCTACCAATCCTAAATATTTAAAATCTTCCTCTCCAAATTGTAATAAACATCTACTTACATTATGAAAATCCTAAGATAATGTTTCATATTGAGTAAAACTCAGACTTTTTCCCCTACAAATGCTGAAAAGATGATAAAAGATCATGTTTTCTTTATCCAGTCATCTGAATTGGCAATCCTCAATAAAACTGGTTCCAAATACATGATTATTTATCTTTGCTGCATAGAGTCCTCCAATCTACTAAACTGGAAAAGATAATAAAGAAAATACATTTAAAATTTGACAAATTATCAAAAACACTTTCAATGTCTATCTAGATAAATAAGCAAGTTAAATATTTAGACAAAGTTCTTGCTGTTCAGAAATCCACGGTCTAAGATATAGTACTTAAAACTAACAATTATAGAGGTATCAAATAATAGAATTTGATAATTCATTTATAATCACAAATGTAAACATTGAGGCTAAAAGATCAGAAACATTCTCTAAGAGGATGAATACTGGTTTCCTGATTCCCAGTCCTGTCCATTTGTTTAAGGCTATAGCTTGCTTAAAACATCCACTGGTAGGGAGCATGACTGGCATAAGAAAAACTCTATCATCTTTCTAATTAGGCAGTTCATGGATAGAATATCAGCTTTTCCAGTTATTGCGTGAGATTAAGAAAATCCATTTCCATTCTAAACTCTAGTTTCTTTGCTGACAAAACTTGTGTCTGTGCAATGTAAGTGTGTAGGAGCAAAGAATTGACCTATAGACGGAATAACCACAGTTAGTCTTTATTAAAACTGCAATTCACTCATGGCTGTAGAGAATGAAAATGGCATAGGCCTGGCTCTGGTTGGCTCATTCAGATGCCATCTTTCAGGAACGGAGGGTATATACATCTGTAATTTATATGTGGGAATTGGGTATCATTAGTAACACCTGCTTTGTTAGGGTTTTAAAGTACTTCAGAAACCTCAAAGCCATTATTATAATGCAACTCCCCAACTTATATACTAAGCCAAGGAGAGAAAAGAAATTGAGAAGGGATCAGGGCGGGAAATGCATATTTTTCTAAGTTACATTTTTTTTAAAAGATTTATTTATTGGGCCTCCCTGGTGGTGTAGAGGTTGAGCGCTGGGTTGCGAAGCTGCCCGCAGCCACTGCAGTGCAGGTTTGTTCCCTGGCCACCGGTGAGGGTCCCACATGGTGCACAGACCTCTCCTGCCGCCTGCTGCTCCCCTCAGCAGTGTATTTCATCAGTCTGCCTGCTCTGCTCTCTGCTCTGGCTCTGGTGAATTCTCTCACCCTCCCGCACTTCTGGCTGTACCCAGTGCTTGTACAAATAAATAAATCTTTAAAAAATAAATAAATAAATAAAACCTTTATTTATTTATGCATACAGCTAGGGTACAGGCTAGAGATGCGGGGGGATGGGGTGGTGATAGGATTCACCAGAGACAGAGTGGGGAACAGAGCAGGTAGATTGACCGAAGTATAAAGCTGAGGGGAGCAGCCCTGAGTCAGGAGAGGTCTGCTGCACATGTGGTTTGCTCCCTAGCTGGCTGAGTGTTGAACTGTGCTTCAGAGGCTGCAGATTGCTTCATAGTGCGGTGCTTAACCCCTTGCACCACCAAGGAGGCCCCTAAGTTACATTTTTGCTTACAATACTACTTTTTTTAAAAAACAAAACAAAACAAAACAACCCTCCTCAGAGAGGATTTTTGTTTATTTTGCCTGTTGATTGTCATGCATTAGCTTATATATTGCCCAAAAGCCAAATGGGGAAAAACTGTTTAAAAGGAGACAGATGGAAGTATTTTAACCAAATACACTTTTAATTTTAAAGGTCTTAATTGCATATTGCTTTACAGTGTTACTGATGTTGGTGAGACCATGCATTGCACATCAGCAAGTATGAAACTTCCTTCATGTCTGCATATGTCTTTCAGTCAGAATCAGCGTTTGCAGAATTGTTGCCTAATCAGATTGGGCTGACAAATGTTTCTTCTTTCAGTAGTACAATATTCACTTTAATTATTATATTTAAGTACGTTTATTGAGACATATACTCTCCAGTCCTCACCAATCCCTGTCTTACACCTTGATGCTTCATTTCTTTCACATTACCCATGGTCCCTGAAAGCATTAAACTTCACAGTCCCAAGGAGAGGTATACTGTTATTTTTCTTTCCTCCAGAAAAGAAAATACAAGGAAAGTGATGGAGTAAATCTTAAAGATAAGGAGAGTAGGCAGAAATGATTAAAATTGTTCATAGATAATAAAATAATTTCTAAACTGTGAAAAGAAAATTGAATATAAAACAGAATAAGAAAATAACCTCCCAAAACTAAGATTTCAAAAACAAGAATAGAGTCCACCCCTCCTTGAGTAGCAGGTAAGATTGCCTTTGGCAGGATGTAATGGAAACCCAAATAAAAATGCATAACCTAACAGGTATGTTTCCTCCTCAGAAAGTAAGATTCCTGAGTAAGATCAAAACTGATCCATTGGTAAAGGAAGTCATCAGAATTGTCTCCTTTTCCTTTCCAAGTGTGATCCAAAATGTGTAGATTTTGTTCTCATATTTGTAAGATGGCTTTTTTATATCCAGGCATCAAGCCCATTCTAGATATGAATAAGGGAGTATACTAGAAAGATGCATTCTGGCTTTTGAGCATAAATATTTTAGTAATTTTCTCAAAGCCTTACTCTGTAGATTTTTGCTTGCATTTCATTGGTCTGAACTGAATCACAAAGCCAAATCTAATGGAAGGTAATGACAGAAAATTAGCAGTTCTAACTGAATATTTGAACAAGATTAGACTTCTGTTGCTAAAAAAGAGGAGGTAAAAGATTTGGATTAAGTTTTTATTAGCTAACAATTAAACAGCACTCTCTACATGCCAAACACTTCACATGTAATAAATCATCTAATACAAGTATCTCCTGCAGATGCCATGCTTCCATTTTAAATATAAATAAACTGAAGCGTACCAACATTTAATAATATGCAAAGGATCACCTAGCTAAGTATAGGCACAGATACAATTTTAGGGTTTCAAAGAAAAAGAAGTCTCTCTCTCTCTCTCCCCCTTCCTCTTTCTCTCCCTCTTCTTCTTTTTCTTTCTCTGTTCCTCTGTCTCTCTGTATGTCTCTCTCAAGAGACAGAAACAGAAAGAGAGAGAGAGAGAATTATTATGAAGAATTAGTTCACAAGATTGTGATAGTTGAGAAGTCCCACATCTGCTGTCTACAAACTAGAGACCCAGGCTATCCATTGGTGTTTTTGCATTCTGCATCTAAAAGTCTGAGACTCAGGGAAGCTAATGGTATAAATTTCAGTCCAAGAATGGGAAAGGACCATTGTCCCAGCTCAAGCAAGCAGGAAAGAAGAAAAAGGGATGAATTCTTCCTTCCTCTGACTTTTATTCATGTTTTCAGAGTACTACATAATTCCTATACTAGTGGAAATCTACTTCACTGAGCCCCTTGAGTCAAATGCTAATATTTTTCAGAAATACAATCATAGACACCCAGAAATAATATTTAATCTGGGCACCTAATGGTGCAGTCAAGTTGATGCATAAAATTAGCCATCACAGATGATACTAGTGACAGGGTGAAGAAAGTATATTGTCCGAGGGGGCGGAGCAACATGGCGGCGAGGAGACGCTGCGAGTTAAGATCTCCCATTAAAAAAAGTGAATAGGGAGGAAAAGCGGCAGGTCCCAGTGAGAACCGGGACACGGAAGATAAACGGGTGACGCCAGCGAACTGCCCGAAGAAGAAAGTGGCCATAAAAGAGGACTAGAAGGGAGGGAAGCGCAGAACCCTGCTCCCCTCCCCCGCCCACAGAGGCGGCACTCTCCGACCGGCAGAGAGGAGGAAACAACAAACCAAAACGACCAACAAGAACAAACGACGCAGCAAGCGGGACTGTGCCTGGAAAGGAACTATTGCAGCCACCACACCCCGTGAACGGGAGCTGAGGCGAACCCTGCAGGATCCGCCTCGGCGGTGAGCGAACGGCTCCGGGCGCCATTAGAGAAGAACAAAGACCCCGGGAGACGCGCACACAGCCCGGGCTGCCAGTAAGCTGGCGCGGAAACGCGGCGCGCTCGGGGAGCTTGAAAAGCAAGTGCAGACCTGGATCGCGGCTGCCCAGGTCCCCGCGCCTGCGACCTAGGCTTGCGGGGAGACGACCTAGGCTTGCGGGGAGACGCGCGGAGGTCCTCACTGAGGTGAAGGTCCCTCCCTGAGTGAGCAGGAACCAGGCGCCCAGGCACGGGAGCGGTGCCAAAGGCGCCATTCCCGCGCCACTGAACTGGGCTACAGCCCGCGTCCTGGAACTGAGGGCTTTGAACTGAGACCCGGGGCACGAAAATTCGGGGCGTGGTTTCTCCACGACGGTGGGGCACAAGGCAGACACAGCACCCCAAAGCTGTTGAGGTGTACCCTACCATTCCCGCTCTGTTCTCTGTCCCACGGGGTGGGGGAGGCGAAAAACAGCCCCCCAAGGACAATAGGAGAGATCTCTGGCGCCACCTAGCGACCAGGAAAAAAAAAAGTCACTAACACCCTATAAAACAGGACATTTCTTAAGACTGCTTGAAAAGGGCAGAAGGTTTCTGGAGGACCCAGTGGCCAGCCGGGAAGTTATTCCACGCCAGGCCCCTTCCGACCAGCAGTCTGAGCCCACAGAGGGAGCAGGCACCCACGTCTGGGGCAGACCGGGTGCGCAGAAGAGTGTGCCTGAAACCGGAGGCGCAGGGACTGCACCCCGCTTCGCCATTTGAGAACAGGGACATTTCTTCAGTAAAAACTGCCTAAAACCAGCAGAAAGCTCCCCCAGAAGACAGAGATGGCTCCTGGAAGAGCCAGAGGGGAGCGGAGAAGTTCACCCAAGATGTCAGTCAGTCCGAGCAACACAGTGTCCCAACGCATACGACAAATTAGAAAACAGACAGTAGGGAGTAGAAGAACCACACGCAACCTAAAAACTCCTCAGGAAAGAAGCACACCACAAAAAGAAAACCACTCCCCAGATTGCAACGACAGCAACTTGGAAGAACTTCTGAGCCTTCCAGAAAGAGAATTTAAAATTGCCATGATTAAAAAAGTGATAGATCAGAAGAAGGAAATTGAGTCCCTAAAGAGGGAAGTAAGAGAAATGCAGGAGATCAAAGAATTAATGGAGGAACTAAAGAACTCTGGGAAAAGCAATGAAAGCAGAATAGATGAAATGGAAGAACGAA